TCACTAATGACTGATACAAAATACTAAGCATCCTAATGACTGATACAAAATCTTGTGCAGTTCAAGTCTTCCCTACCTTGACTCTTCATCTATGTTTTCCCTTCCAAAAGTCTGGCTGTCTCTTTACAAGAATAATAACAGTAACATCATCATTTTTATTTGCATATGACATTTTTAAAACTCAAAACAATTTAAAATTATATAATTTTGCTTTATAAAATACTTATTAGGACATACTAGCAGGAAATTAATGGTTTAAAAATTCTGGAAAAATAGAGATTTATGATCTCTATTATGTGATCCAGCAATCCCACTGCTGGGTATATACTCAAAATAAAGCAAATCAATATATCGAAGAGATATCTGAACTCCCATGTTTGTTGCAGCACTGGTCACAATAGCAAAATTTGGAAGGAGGCTAAGTGTCCACTGACAGATGAATAAATAAAGAAAATGTGGTACATATAAACAATGGAGTATTATTTAGCCACAAAAAAGAATGAGATCCTGTCATTTGCAACATAGATGGAACTGGAGATCATTATGTTAAGTGAATTAAGCCAGGCACAGAAAGGAAAATGTCACATGTTCTCACTTATTTGTGGGATCTAAAAATCAAAACAATTGAACTCATGGACATAGAGAGTAGAATGATGGTTACCAGAGGGTGGTAAGAGTAGTGGGGTGTAGGGGAAGGTGGGGGTGATTCATGGGTATAGAAAAAGAAAGAATGAGACTTACTATTTGATAGCATAACAGGGTGACTATCATCAATAATACATCGTACATTTTTAAATAACTAAGAGTGTAAATTGGATTGTTTGTAACACATAAGATAATAGCATTTGATTATTATGCATCATATCCCTGTATCAAAACATCTCATGTACAACTACTATGTCCCCACAAAAATTAAAAATAATTTAAAAAAAAAAATTCTGATATGGTTGGATTGTTTTATTCTTAAAAAATATATATATATCTACCAAATATATCCTACTAAAAATCCGCAACTGTCTTTGTTAATTAAGCACAAATTTTAATTTGAAAAGTCTGGTCCTGTCTGCTAAGACTTACTTTTGCTAGATCCGTAAATACCAAAAAGGTCTATTCAAATGAGGGCAATAAGAGTAAAATAAATGGAAATTAATTGGTATCATTAAAAATAAATAAAGATTATAAAGGAGGGGACTCTCCCTAATCAAAAATCACATTGCACACTGCTGGGATTATACGAAGATGACAGAAATCCTTCTTACTGGCATTTAAATCTTGGGCCATCCTAACACTCTTCCGGTGTCAGTGAAAAGTACAACGTTGGCATTATAACAAACAATAGTTTACAGACTCTCAGTGCGCTAGGGTGTCTTTGCAGAATGCTTAGCTAGAGCTCTACTGTCACTTTTTTCTTATTGAAATGTAAAATGTTGATTGTTTTATAAGCTGAGTGAAAAATACTTAGGTATTTACATACAATCAGGTCCATAAAAGATAAAAATTCACTTATCAGAATTTGAGTCCTGTTAATTGACATACTCAACTTTCTAGGATGAACTTATAAATAGAATGGGGGGTGGGAATCAATCTTCATTCCCTCTCTTTCTCTTTTCTTTACTCATGAAGAAGCAATGCTTTATCTCTGTCCACTCTGGGTGTGGGGGGAAGTATGCTGCTTGTAAGGGATAATTATTTGGAGAATACTTTAGTTTCACGGTTGATGAAATTACAAAGGGATACTGTTTGGGGTATTACAGTAAATAGGTATAACAGAACCTACCTGAAAAAGAACATGTACATGGCAGCTGTGATGCAAAACAAAAGGACCTGTAACAAGGAGAAAATACATTACTTGCAAAAGAACACTGACATCACCATTTGAGTGAATCATAAAAGCAAAATACTATTAAATCTTGTGCCTGAAACAATAAAAGGATACACAAACCAGTCACACACATTTCATATTCTCGACCTTTCATATAAACCAAACTTGTTCAACCTGTGGCCTGTAGGCTGCATGAACTCCAAGACAGCTTTGAATGTGGTCTAACACAATTTGTAAACTTTCTGTAAACATTGTGACTTTTTTTTTTTTTTGCAATTTTTTTCAGTTCATCAAGTATCATTAGTGTTAGTATATTTCAAGTATGGCCCAAGACAAATTTTCTTCTTCCAATGTGGCCCAGAAAAGCT